CTGCAGTGCAATTGCAGTACGACTACGGTAGGTTAGCAGTGAGTCCACAGTCAGTCAGCGGTAAGGTCCAGTCAGTCCCAGTCCGGTCCAGCAAGTACCACGAGGGACTGTGAGCACCATGGGCCGATGGAAAGGGGCAGACCACCGAGTTTCAGAAGTATAAATCAAGAGGCAGCGCCCAGCCATTCATTCATTCCTGCGTGAGCCATGCGGAAGTGCTGCCACAGCGACTTGTGCAAGGTCTGCAGAGAGCCCGGAGCTGAAGTGGGCGAGAGAGAAGGAGTGTAGCATAGCAATAGGGTAGAGGCAGCCATAGCTGCCATAGCTGTAGTCTAGTGTGAAGTGTGTGTGTGTGTGCGAGTGACGCGTGTGGGATATCCAGGGTGATCCGGGGTATGTGAACAGTGAGTTGTTTGGGCGCTGAGTCGCCATAGCCTATTATAAGTGAACTCGTATCTGGATGCCATATCTCTGAGTTTTGAGTGGGCGCATATTGCCAGTTTGCTGCACTACTGTTTACATGCATGAAAAGTGTGAATGAGAACGAGTCTGATTGCAGTGCGAGGGAAAGGGCAGATGGGGAGAACAGGAGATTCGAGCCGACCGACAGCAGGACTGTCCGACAGATGGAGGCAAGTCAGATGAGAGGTAAGTATGTAAATGGTAACGAAGAGACAGATGGAGATGGCGCGCGAAGGAGAGCTGGGAAGGAAGTGGGGCCGGGAAGAAGAAGGGGAAGGGTGTGACGAATCATATGAGGAGGATCAGGAGGCAAAATTCTGGAGGAAAGTGAAAGGAAATAGCCGAAATGGATGTATTCAGGGAGCGGGAAAAACTAGTGTGAGAGAGGTACGTAGGATTGAGGTAGTGACAAGAAAGTCGACATCCTTAGAAGGTAGGCAACGGAGACGGAGTCATCTTCATTGTGCGCAAGTGTCTAGGAGTCTGCCATGATTAACCATATAAGCGAATATGGGGACTGGGTTTCTCCTCACTTTGGATGTGCTTATCCTTTGGAAAGCCCCCTGAAGAGTTTGCCGCGGTACGCCGGCAACGAAACGCGTCGGGGCGATGCGTATTGGAAGAGAGATGCGAGTTATGAGTACGGATTGCTTCGAGTGAGGAATGTGTAATATGTATCCGTGAGAATCCTACGTTTCGTCTCTATTTTCATTTCATTTCTATTTCCTTGAATCTTTCTGGAAACACCGGCCGATAGGGACAATTGCCAAATTGCAGAAATTCGAGGACTGAAAAGAAAAAAGAAAAAAAAAAAAAGAAGGAAGGGCAAGACATCCGCAAAACCCTGCTGCGGGACTTAAGGCCAAACACGGAACTCATTCATACTCAAGAATTAAATGTGAAAGCTCCGCAAAAAGGAAACGAATCTAGCACCTATTCTATGCCAGGTTCACGCCGCCCTTTCTGCGGGGACCGAGGAGAAAAGGGAAGCTTTATGCATCTGAGTCGGGGACACAAGGCCTGTCAAATCGATTCGAATTCTCGTCGTCCGATGGGGGTGGGAGCGGGGGCACCCAGGTCTGGAAGTTCGCTGGAAGAGCTCCCACATTGCGGGAAAGATCCGGGAACCGGATGGACCCCTCGTACCCTAGCACCAACCTTTGCCAGGAACACGAGTTCCCGAGCCGGCACCAGCGGCAGTTAAACTGGGGCTTCCACGTGGCGTGCGCTGCAGACCAGGGGAGCACCGTTAAATTGGTGTATGGCAGAATCAAGGATGGGGAAGCAAACCGATCAATCAGAACGAACCCCACTCCCCCGATATGACACGCCGTAGACAGGTTGTACATCGGTCGGCATTATCGCCCTCCTCACATCCCATCCGCATTGCAGTAAAGACCGTCTTCATCTGCAATCGGAAAAGGAGGACGGTCGCTATGGCGAATCGGCGTGAGGTTCGAGCACGGACAGCTACCCACGTTCACACTCAGATTGGCAAACCTTGGCTCCATACAATTCTCAACTTGTCCCACACAGACCTGAATCTCCTATCGAAATGCAAGTGGATATGTATGACGACTCCAATCAAAATTGCCAACTTGACAAAATGGCGATGGCCGGTAGGCAGGGAGATCGGGTGGAACAACTAAGTCCCCGCACCCGATCGGGCGGACTTATTGATCCAAAGAAAATAAAAATACCGTCAACCGAATTCATAACCGTTTTCTTAAAATTCCCACGTGGTTGCTAGTCGGTCGTGCAAGACTAATTCGAACAAGGACGAGGACAAACCCAGAAGATGCATGCAGATGACCATCAAAAATTCAAAACGGACCCCTTTCTTCGTAATTATTCAAGATCCGTACTTCGGGGCTTACTTCGGGGTTTACTCCGAAGGGTACGTAAAGTCGCGAGGTACGGACTCGGAGCTTGGCTTATCATATAGAGTGGTTAGAGACTTTCAGCTGTGCTGCCACGGCTGGGCAGTCGTCGTCCCACAAATACCACAGAGACTCTCCCTCAGACTTTCCGGAACTCTTCCTTCCGGATCCTTTGGCCATGATGGAACTCCTGCAAAATGGAGATGGATGAAGGCCCAAGAATGGTGGGGACCTGGTGCTGGTGAGTTTGGGGCCCTTTCTTTTTTGTTCAGGAGCAGAGCACTGAAGGTCATGGCTATGATGTCATTGAGATGGGACGCTGGACCTGGTTTCCAGCAGCCAGTGCCCAGGCAGGACTTGGAAACCCGCTATCCTTAGTGTTGGCACTGCAGGATGCACGGAGGCGGCAATTTTAAACAGCCCAATAGCATTGACATAGACATGGTCAAGGGACACATAGGACTGCCAATTCCCCTCGGCACCTCTGTTGCTCCTCAAAGTCTGTCTTCCGAAACTACCTAGATAGGACGCTGGGCCTGGTTTCCAGCAGGCGATGCTCAAAGTCTATTTTCAGAATATCATGATGTATTTATCAATGAGACGTACCAAGTTCCTGGTTTTAGCTATGGTTGAGGAGCTGTAAATAGCAAGCAAGTTTGTGTTGCAGAAAATGTACAATCGTAGGTCATGTTTCGGAATGCATAGAGGGATAGAACTAGATAATATGGCTAAAACTGGCGCTCAGAAAAAGAGTGAAGAGGTTCTGTTCCTCCACAACATGAGGATGAATTCTTTTGGCTATGTCTCCAGTTGGAGGGTCTGGTTGTTTTGATTGATAGCATTGTAATGTAGAGTATGGCCTACGAATAGATTGGAGCTTTT